AGACACACTGAAAAGGATTTTTAAGGTCTAAAAATATGTTCGGATTAAGCGCTGATAAGAACTACATCAGATCGGTTAATATAAGATTGATCTGTGAGAGGACCGATTTTGGCTCTTATCGTCCCCTCCGTCCTTTGGCTAATTCAATAGTATACTCTGTCTTCCATAACTGTGAGACGTATAAAAATGCAACGCAGATGTTACTGTACAACATTATAGCGTGAACGAGTTTATAAAAACGTCAATAACTTATCCAATCATCTGGTAGTAGTAAAAAAACAGAGAGTTTTTAGCCACGTCTGCATTGATTGCGGTTTTAATAAACATGATTTGATTTTTGGAAGGACTAAATTTATTACGCATCTTATGATTCTGGTCGAATCTTATTAGAGGAAATCTCATAGCATTCTATCATAGGAATGCGTGGCATTTATAAAGAATCTCTAGTTAACCCTATCATTTCTCATCACAAGATCCTGCCAGAGTTAATTTAATCAATTGCTTTTGCTTCACTTTTGCGCGAATAAACAAAATAAAGACCCTCTATTACAGGAAAACAACTGTTCTGTAGGAACAAAAGAAATAAGCAAAACAAAAACACACCGACTAATCGTTTGTTTACGCAGGTTTAGCAAGTCAATATTTATACTCTGGGTAGAAATTTCTAAAAACAAAATCATTGTTAATTTTCGAAATCAGCCTTCTATCTAGACATCCACGTCTTTTTTGTCCCGATCATTCACTGTCCATGCCCATGGGTAATAATCGCAGATGTCTGCTTCTATTCCAGTTCTTTTCCATGAAAATCTTGATATAATATTCTCAAAATACCTATATAAAATGAAGGTAGAGTTTCTGAAATACGGTCTCGTAAAAAGGTTCGCTTCTTCTATTCGAATAATTGGAAAGTAAATTCTACTCACCATACACCTGAATATGAAATATAGATATGTATGTTCGAATATCCAGTATTTAAACAATATAAAGAAATGGAGAATATAGAACCCATGAGGACAAAAGTGTAGAAAAAAAAAATCTAAGTGGAAAAAGTATGAGTCCTAAAGGACTCATCAGTCAGAAAGAAAAAAAATGAATTTGAATTCAATGCATGTTGCATATAAAAATATAAGCGTAAATAGAACAATAAAAAACCTAATATGTCTGAGTGAGTGAATTTTCCCATAACTCTTCTTTCAAATCGAATAACGGTTTGGTATACTTGACAGCGGTTGAATCATGATGTTAACGATACATGTCCGAATTGCTTAATATGACAGGAGACAAATACTTACCAAAGAATGCTAAATTCAAACGTTTGAAACTATCATATTTAAACAAATTGAATTTTTAGGACATCCGTGAACCTAACTCTCAAACTTTAATTTGGTCTAGTAGATCCAAATTTGAACTATTCGATGTCTCAAAATCGGTAGATAAAATATTTTTATTTCCAACAACGTTACGCATACAGTCCGTGAAAATAATTAAGAAAAACAAATGATGTTTTCGTACACACAAAAAAAAGGTATCTAAACAATAAAACAATCTCATTCAAGAAGAAGAACAAAACGATCTTAATATAAAAGAAAAACTGAGATTCAATATAGAAAAGTGAGAGGGAGAAATCCGTACAAAAGTTGAAGAATAACAAATAATCTGAACATTCACCGGAATATAAAAAAATAAAGAAGAACAAAAACAAGTAAATCAGACTAGGTTTATTTTTTAAATATCAGCCCATTAATTGTTATTGAAATAAATTCCATATACAGTTAAAATAAGAATGCAAATATTGTAAATATAATGTCCATGTATAATGAAATATTAACGATGATTCAGCTCGTCGTATTTGATTTAAACATGTATGTATTAATTCAGCATTTTTTTCAAATTCATTTGCTAATTGATATTGAATTTTCATTCGAATTGTTTGATTATTCATAATATCATTCGTCCATATTAGACCATTTTCATTTGTTAATTTTTCACATAATTTTTCATGTAATTCAATGAGTACTTGTTCATTAAATCTCATATCTTTTCGTTTTATATGAAATTCATCGTACAATTGATCAATATAATAAAACATATATTCAATTACTAATGGTTTATAGACAGACATTGTTGAATTTGAATATTGTAATTTTAATGTAAACCATTTTTGACGATCCAATGAACAATATTCAATATGATTAAACCATTTCAAAAACACATTAGAATTATCATTATCAAAAAATATATTTAAAATATTGTATTCATGATTAAAATAATGAGAAAGAAAATTTTGTTTTAAATTTGCATATAATTCTTTTAAAAAATGATGTGTCAAATCTAATATCGAATCGTTTGTACTTTGACGACTAAAAATAAACAAATAAAATAAAAAAGATATGAAGTAATCTCAACTCTCTGACGTCAAGATATAAAGGTTCTTTTCTTCAATTTGTCCAGAGAAAATATGTAAGTCTGGTCAAAATTTCTCTAGTAACGGGTTGGGCAGAGAAGTTGAAGAGAATAACTTTGTAACTCATCCTTTGCCTAGTCATATCAACTTCTAAAGCTTTGTTCTGAGCTTGAAAGTCGCAGAATTTTCTCTAGTTTCTGATGCTGTGTTTAGATTATCGTCTTTTTACTGTACTCAAAATATCGGAAGACTCGAAAATCTGAACTGCTCACGACGTCACTGAAAAAAATGGTTTATATCTTCATAGAAGTTTTGCTCCAGCAATTCAAACACGGTACTAAAGACTACAATAAATTCTTAATTGCTGGAACACAACACTATATTTTTCGACAAAGTTTTAGAGCCGTAAAAACAGATTACAACAATTGGATCATTACTTGTGTTTGGTGTCATTCCCTTCGAAAGATATCTCAACTCTGTCATCTCTTACCCAAACGATGCAATCCATAGAAAGAAGTGCATTTTGTAGAGCTTGAAATTCTGTATCTTTTGATATAAAAACAGTAATTTTTATAAGTCAAGACTTTGAGGAAGTCTCCAAAATAAAGTACCACCTCGTCGGTCAAAGATGTCTTTTTGCTGTTTTCTATTTTACAAAAAAGTAAAACAGTCAGCGTATAGGAACCAACGCACAGCTCCGAAAAATTCTGCATCTTTTAGACCTTGAACCAAATTTTTGCAATAAAACTTAAGGAAAAAAAATTGCATTTCGAATTTTTCTGATGTTGCAGATGAGATTTTCATGGCTTCCAATATTACTACTGTTGTAAAAGAACGGAACATGCTTATTTTTAAAACAACATATAAATAAAATCCAGACACAATTCTCTATCTTTCTGACACAAAAATGTAATTTTCTGGTCAACTTTAACTTGAGAAAATTTTTTGCAAAGTGACGTCATTTCCTCTGCCAAATCCGTTACATACAGTTTAAAAATGAAACTAAATAATGTTGCCCTGTCAATTTGAAACTACTCAATTTAGATCTATTTTATGAGTTCTATCTTAACATCTGGTCTCTGGTCTACGTACTTAATAAATTTCTTTTACAATTATTTTTTAGATATCGCCAAGCTTAAGTCTTAAAAACACAAAGACAATCTCAAAGACTGCGTACATAGGAAGAGTCAGCTCCAATTTTCAATATTTGAATTTTTTTGTAATTAAAAAGCAGCTATAAAACAAATTGATTTGGTGGAAAATAAACTTGCATTTTAAAAATCAAAAAATTCTATTTACCTAGATATTGATGTCGAAAATGGTAGACCATATTTTTCACAATAATTTAAAAAACAATGTTTTATGCATAAACGAATTGCATATTCATCATTTTGTTGTTGTTGTTCATTCTCATAATCGACACTATGATTAATTCCATTTAATTTTTTTGTTAATGAAAATAGTTGTAAACAAAATGTAAATAAAAATAAAGTTGACTCATTCATATATTCATATAATAAATTTTCAACTAAATCAAAATTTAATTGCCATCGATCATCGAGATGATGATTTGTTGATTGTGATAAATTCATTTTACAATTTGATTTTGGTATTACTAATATTTGTTTTTTAATAATTATATTCATATGATATTTTGATGGCCATTTTCGTTTTAAATTACGTTTATAATAATAATTATTGAGAATATAAGTTGGCCATTTTATTAATGGAATAGCAAAAACATATTGTTCATAATCAACGTTAATACAAGTTTCAGAATTTTTATTATTTGATAAAAATAAATCAGAGAATGCATGAATATGTGATAATTTTGTTCTTAATTCATTTGTTTCTTTATTATTGTTAATATGATCGTTTTGATCAGTAGATGATGAATCAAGTAAATATAATGTAGGTGGTAAACGTAAACAAACTAATTGAATATGATATTGATCATCCATAGTTGATAAATTTTGTTCAATACTCGATTCTCGTTTCAACACATGATTTGAAAGACTAAAAGAAAAAATAAAGATAAATAAAATTGCTAACACGTGTTTATGAGATATATTATGTTACCTAGAAGAATTACTATTGTTCATAATAATTTCATTATTGTCAATCAAATCAATTTTTGTCATTGTTTTTTCAGGTTTTAATAGACAAGTTAAATAACTCCCATCACCCGTTAAAAAACGATTTGCTATTGAACATGTTTGATTTAAAATAATTAATGATTGAAACCATTGTCGAAATACATACGATGATAAATAATAATTATTATCTTCTCCTTCTTGTTCATTAGATAGACGATAAACAAAATGTGTATACTGTTTCAAATATGATTTATCTAAACGAATATGTCCAGTATAAAATGTTGAATGTTCATTTTCATCACAAATAAATAAACATAATGATGAATCATCCGTTTGTTGTAATTTTTTTATTTGATTTGATGTATCTTTATTACCCATTTCTAAATCAATAACAACATGAGTTAAAGTTGTTTGTTCTATTTCTTGTTTATGTTTATAATCATCATCTAATGGTAATGTTTTAAAACAAATTTCTGGAATGAAAAAACATCGTGAACGTATTTGTTCTTGAATATTATATGTACTATAAGGACTGGTTAATAATGTGGGCAAAATACATTCTAATGGATAGATGAATTCAATATATAAATCATTAGCTAAAATTGTTGATATTTGAGTACTGTTATTATCAATTACTGGATAAATCATAACTGGATGTGAAAAATGATTTTTAATAGTTTTTTTATTATTACACGATAATGGTAATAATTTTAAACGCTGTTTATATAATGTTTGTTGATAATATAATAAACGAAATAAAAAATCTTTTAGATAATTATTTAATGTTAACAAGTTTAAATTAAGACATTTAGCTAAATGTAAAACTTCTAAATTACTCGTTGTATTAGAAACTAATAATGTTGGTAAATCTTCGTCAAAATCATTTATCACCGGACTTTCACACTGAAATTAGTAAAAAATAATAAAAATTGATAAAATAAACTCCTCCATTTTCCTTACTTGTTTATTAAACACTATTTCGTTAATAGTAGGTTTTTGATAATTAATAAATAATTCATCATCGACTGTAGTTGATGTTCGTTTTTTCTGTCGTTGTTGACTAACGGGCGTTGTAATTATTCGATGTTTATTAATACGACTTAATGATGGTGTACCAAGAATTGATAATGAATCAATCCATTTATCAATTGATTGACAACCTTGTAATGATTTTTCTAAATCTTCAATTGACGATTTTGCTTGTTCGATCGATTGTGAATAATATGTACGTTTTGTATTCGTAAGTGGTAAACGAAATGATGAAAAATGATGTGAACGACTTTGAGTAATTGTTGCTGATGGTGTGACAACAGAGGGTAATTGTCGCAATGGTAACTGTGGTATTTTAAAAACACCATCTCCATCCGAATTATCCGTATGTCGATTTAGAGTGGGTGTAACAACAACATTATCGAGAGATAAAGAGCGTCTATTATGACTACTACTAGTAGAAGATGTTGTTAAAAGTGAATTATTATCATCTTTTACTTTCTTAGTATTACTAACTGATGATAATGTTGGTGTACAAATAATTGAAGAATTTTCTGATATTGATTGCTCTTGTTTTGGTATTTCAACAGTGAGTGTTTGAACAATGTCATTCGTATTTTTAGTTGATTGTGTTAGATCAACATAGTAATTCGAATAACTATTTTGATTGTTGTTATTATTGTTGTTGTTGTTGTGGAATGATATTTTCTTTTCAACAATTCGATCAAATGTTGGTAAATAACTGTCATTTGACAATGATAGAGATGACGATGATTTTGTTGAACAAAAACAACAAAACGTCTGCTTCTTTTGAAGTTTTTTTATTTGTTCATGTTTTTGTTGTTTCTTTGATGATGATGAATTACCCATACCTTTATGGACGGTTGTTCAAACGCAGTAACAACGTTTAATTGTCATCTATAAAGAAAAAATATAGTGAAATTTTATTAGATCGTTCAAAATCTTTGATGAAATTTATAATTTAAAATAGAAGGAATGATAGAAATCTTTCATCTAGATTAAAAATGCGATCAGTATCTTACCTACTTAAAAAAAATGTATTTAAACTGACTGGGTTATTGAAGATAACTTTACTAAATGGTATCTTATTGTCGTATTGTCACTTCTACAAAAAGTATTATTTATTATACGACAATATGTATCATATAAGACGATATGAGAAACTGATTGTCTAACAAGGAAGAAAGAAGAAGAAGAAAAAGAAAGAGGAAGATGGAAAACGTTTAGTTCTCTTAACACAACGATGATAAGAATTCAGGAGCGTGATCTATCTCAATGAGAGAAAAAACAATAAAAATCATCTCGAAGGTTTTACGTAATATTTCATGTGTACGAACGACGAGAGAGAGAAGAGCAGGCGATATAGTAATTGTAGTTGTAATAGAATATGTGATGATACAAAAATGTCAAGTTCAAATATAAATAAATTGAATCTACTTGAGTCACATAATACTACTTGTGTTTCAACAAATAAAATACATTTTTTTCAATCTTTAGATTGTGATAATGTATAAAACTCAAGCGGCCTCTTATCGTTTTAAATTTATGAACAAAATCTATCCATGTCTATATCTTCTCATGTACAGGCAGAAAGCTTTACGTTCTTTCACAAGGAATTTTTAATTAAGTGTTCATACCTAATTCTTTCAACTTGCATTTGATCGCGTAATAAAGAGGATGGTTTGAACTCAACTGATTTATAATCCACATTTTAATTAAGTATCTCAGTTGATAGTATTTCACTTGAGAAACCAATATTTCTACAAAAATATTTTATAGATACCATTTTAAATCCGAAGAGATTATTCTATTTAGGCTGATGTATAAATGAGTTACTCACAACTAACAAACCACTACACCATTCCTGCCAAGGTAATAATTCCTCAGATATAAAATGTATCTATAAAATATTTTTGCAGAAATATTGGTTTCTCAGCTGAGATACTTGATTAAAATGTGGATTGTATCTCAGTTGAGACGTTACGTAGAGGATAATCATCTGACTGCTAACTGATCATAACATCATTTAAAGTGAATCTGAGCTGAAAACAAAAACCAGTTAGAAACCATCCTAGAGAACGTACTTGATGCAAGTACTTGATTATTTGCTAAGTACTTGTCACTGATCAAAATACCTGCCTTATTGGTAAGAAGTACTTTCTGAAAGTACTTGGCAAGTAAGGACAAGTACTTACAAGTAATTTACTTCTTGAAAAAAGGCAAGTACGGGCTTCATTACGCAGACGAAGTACTTGGTCCCAAGTAGGTTCTCTAGGGCAATGTTTGCAATATAAAAGCAACTGATAATAAACATTACTACCACTTCAGATTTACTAGTAGTTCATCGTATTATTCTTCTTGGTTTAATACATACGAGTGTCAGAGATTTACAATTCTTTTTCTTCTTCTTCCGTACAGACACGATTTTATTTAGCAAATAGAAAAATGTCTATGTTATATGTGTGGGTGAGGTATAGTTTAACTGATTAATCTTTTCTGATGATGGTAAAATATTTTAGGTTTACATATCATGTCATCATCGATGGAACATATATTGCTATACTCATGCAGTTATTTTAATTATTGAACAAAATTGGTCTTTCTCTCTTCAATCTAGAGCAGAAGAAAAAGAACAACGACCGATATATAAATTCTTTTGTACATGCCAGGAGAAAAGTGTAGGATATCTGATAGAATCATGATCTGCATATGCTACGTGTAGATCATGATGATATATCGAATAGAAGTGAGCGACTTGTATTTCAAATACAGGTTGCTCACTTTGATTCGATATAAAAAGTTTGTATAAAAAAAGAATGTTGAACATCTTCTAAACTAGAAAAGAAAGGAATAAATACTCATTAAATCGAATTTCAAGAAAACAAATATACCGGTGCCAATCAAAAACATTTTCTATCTACCATCATGTTTCATGCACATTCAAATGGGAAATGCGATGGTAATATCCAGCAATGTTACAGAATCAAAAATCAGACTAGGACAGGAACAAAAAAGCGCTTATCAACACTAGAGCTGGTTTCTTTATCATATACCCACTGAAAACTTGTTTCTAGAATTCGACGAAATTTTGCAGATTTTTACTCTGTACCGGATCTCGCAAGAAAAACAACTGGCAAGAAAAAAAACAGGAAAATACACGCAGGATCCAATAGGAAAACTACATAGTGGGATCACGCGAGAAAAAATCCTACGTAATCTCGATGAGTTTCGAAAATTTTTTCTCAGTGGGTACTAGAGAGATTTAATCAAAAAATGTGCTCTTTCTTTCAAAAATCACCAGGAGTCAAAAAAAAATAATAGACTAGAAGTGTCATGATTATCTCAGTTCTTCGTGTGAAAACATAAAAAACTGAAATCACTAATGACAAAAAGTCGGAAATGACATATTTATTAGATATGAAATGTGCTTGTCTGAATAAAAGTTGTTCAGTATCAAAATACAGCTGATTATTCTCTTCCATTCTATCTAATCATATGGTTCACTATGCTCTAGGACTGACTACAAATAAGAGAAAAGAAAAAATTTTGCTAACCACGATACTTACTTACTTACTTTGTGACTTTTATTAATACATAGAAAAAACAGACGACGCTTAGAGAAAAGAATATATATGTACATTAGAAATAGCTAGCCATCCAGATATACAACCCATCAATTTTATATAATGGTTATGATGATTATAATTCGAAGTTAAGCCTTAACATGGTGAAAGAAGTACGGTCATATTTGATAAATACATAATACTCTTGAGTCTTATAGATTAGTCTGACACAGTTATTAAAATAATGTCTGTGACATTGTCGCTCGTTCTGAATTTATACCTTTTGTTTTTTGTTCCGTCGAGACTATTAATTAATAATAACTAATGCGTATCAATTCTACTTTTTGGTTAACAAAGACAGATAAAGTTTCTATCGTTCTATATAATTAAGTCGAAAACCAAACAGTTTTATTCTAAATGTCAATTTAAGCCAATCTTTTTAGGCAAACAAAGAAAATGACGATAACTGCATTTCGGAAAAAAATATATATGGGACAATGTCTCATTGATTGCTAGAAGTTAATGACCACTTAGGAATATATATACTATTTTCGGTAGAAGAGAAAGAGACTTTGATAAGTAACTGCACAATACTATTGTGTGTACTGAGTATAATCAATCAAAAATAAACAAATGAATAAGCCACATCGACGAAGAATGTGTATACGTGCATATTTGCCAATTATTATAAAATCTGTCGCTTAATACTAACTGTAGAACATAGGACTTTTTTCTGGTAAAGACAAGCAATTGATCTCAAAATATACACACATATTCTACTCTATATATAAAATCTCCATGACAAACAAAACAGATACAAGCTAATATATTGGCAAAATAAATTGTCTAAATGCTAAAAAACTTTTCCGAAATTGGGATAGATGTATAGGCTCAGAATAACAGTGTTTGTTGGGTGTCAACCAAGAAAAATGATGCATACCAGAAACAACAGAATGAAGATTATAAAAAGTCCGTAATTTATTCAGAGAATCCACACTAGAAATAGTGGAGCAGTTTAGTCAGAATTCTTAGAAGACTAGGACGGATTATTTCTAATTCAGAAACGAACTGAGAATAATTTTTTTGAAAAAGTGATTCTACTGTTCAGGGCAATTGCATACGCTTTTTGAAGTTTTAGGGAATCAATCGTATTTTGAAAAATTAAAATGGATTTTTTATTTACGAAAAATAATATTTGTGATAACTAGTGCTCACTTCTGAACGTTTAAACACAGAAAAGTTGATATAGACACGAAAAATCTTCCTGTTCTTATAGTCTTCATGAATGACATTGTTTCACTTACTCTTTCGATATTCTTGCGACATTTTGGACTCTTATAATTTCAGACAAAGAATCTTTACATATCTTTTTATCTCGAGAGTATCGCACGAAACTACTTTCTCATGAAAAATTCAGTCGAAAATCATAAGACTATTTCTTTCTTTACCGAATTTGGTGACATATATATATGGTATGTTTGAGACAGATATCTTCAAACAAAATTCAGAAAGAATATTTTCGAATTTTTAAAGAGTCTGTCTGGAGTAGCAGGAAATTGAGAAAAAGTACTTGTCAACTTGCGAGTTATTAAAGCAATGAAGTTTTCCACGGTGTAAGTAATCTGCCATTAGTCGTTGTGCTTAATTTTGAAAGCAAATTTCTTCACGTTAGAATGGATCATTTTTATTTTTCACATGTAAAATCGTCCTTTGTGTTCTGTCGATACAAACTAGTGGGGTGGAGGTTAATTGCTTGGCACCTTTAGGAGGTGATGAACGTCACAATTCACACAAACTTGATTTTCTGAAGAATCCCACAGATGGAAATATTCATATATAAGACATTTTTAGTTTTCTTTTCTTTTCGAGTATGTCAAAGGCTAGGCGTTCTGAAGTTAAATCAAACACATGGAATGACCCGATTGTCTTGCAACAAGAATGTTAAGATTTTATGCACATCTATGTAGAGTATTGTGAGTTATATATAGCAATGAAATCGACAAATCAAATCGGTGATCTTTATTATTAGCAAATCTTGCCACGTTGAACAAGAATCTTTTGCGAAAAAAGGGAAAAAGTCAATGGAAAATTAAAACAGAATATCTGCCTAATTGATGAAGACAAGTTTAAAAATTCTTGACTAAAACGGTAACAAGGACGGGCATTGCAAGTACATCGGCAAAAGAATGGCCCAGTAAATGTTCGGAATGGTTTAGAGAGAAGAAATATTTTATTTAGACTCTCCCCATATTTATGAACCCGAGAAGAGGAAATCGCAAGGTTTAC